AACTATCGATATTATCAAGGAAATGATTATACAAGAGTGTCAGATAAAAATTTTTTTAAAAAAACAAATAAAAATATACAAATTTAAAAAGTCATATTACACAGTTTGATTAAATATGGATTAAAATACATATATTTGATACACTGTACATCAATTTCAAACTAGTAAATTAAGAAGAAAAAAAAAAAAAAAAGATAAGATTTATCATAATAATGCTATAGCTTTAAATTTTCTTTAAAGTGATGAATTTGTTTATGAATTCACAATTTCTAATTCTAAATGACAAAATTCACATAATTAATTATTTACACGATTATTAACGCACGTGTATTTTTCTTTTAATTATATACGTTTAAATGCAGAATTTGTAGTAAATAGATGTCTTTACGATAAGACGAAAGATAACATTATAACATGATTATATACTTCGCTGGTCTGTAAATAAAAAAAAAAACAACAAACAAACAAAAACAAAAAAAAAACAAAAAAAAATCGGTCGCTGCTTGTGGTTTTATCATGTCACTTTCAATAACTAAATTGTATAATACTCTCGATGTAATTGCGTAAACTAAAGTTTATTCAATTACATTTTGTCATGTCGATTTGTGCTTATTCGTTGCAAAAATTAATTCGCACTAATCGCGTGAGTTTCGTTATCTTCTATTAGCCTTGACTTTTTTTCTCTTTAGTATTTCAAAAGCAGCAAAAATTCGTATACGTGCATACACACTCTGTCTCTCTTTCTTGCGATCACGATACTGGCCGAAAACGTTTTTTTCAAATTTTTTTTTCACCTCACTTGTGCGCGTGTAGGTAATCGCCTGTATCATTGTGTGTATTGTCCCAGAAAATCTAACATTTTCATACCAAAGAATCGATCACCTGGGCGAGACAAATAGAGTACACACGCATTTTAAACGAGAAAGTGTATCGCTCTAGCGAAAATTCGTTCAGCATAATTTCTTCCGATTTTCACGTTTCAATTTCTAACTTGTACCAAGTAGTTGACGCAAGTAACTTCTCGCGTGATTCCAATGAAATTCATGTAGAGAATAGTTTTCACTGTAGTGGTTAGCAGATTGTCAGAACGATAACCAATTTCACTTTTTATATATTTTTCTAACGCTCTGCGCTATATTATTTTTATCCTGAAGTGTCTTTCTTATTCGGACCTGCACTTTCATATATATATATATATATATAACGGCTATTATAACTTTCGCTTCCCTTTTTCGTGAAAATCTTTATCATTTAATGTTTCGCGTATAAGCTGCTGACCATTAGCATCTACCTCTTTTGTAATAAAATTCACAAATTTCAAAAGCGAGCTCGACTTTTAAAACTTCCAATCATATGTAAATATTTGGCGTTCAATCGTAAAATACTTTCTTCTATTTGTTCGTAAATATATTTTAATCGAAAAACTTAATATAATTATGCATGTGTGCATAATAAATATAAGAAAGTTTGCTTATAACACGGAAAATTATAATTCATTTTACCTAAACGGGATTTCAATTAAAACGTAATAATTCCATTACTATTTCTAATTTTACCTCGACTATCTCACTCGCTTTAATACGACTGTTCGATGTACTTTTTTTTTTTAATCATTGTCAATCACTTTTTCTTATATTTTTTCATCTCTTACGTATATACGTATATTCTAATAACGGTCTCGTCGTATTTACTTTTTATTCAGTTATACGTATTAAGCTTTTTCTGACCTAATTACTAAGAATCTAGAGCGCTTTACATATTAGCCATTATTTAATGTAAATGCAGTCGAATGACATCCTGTTTAATAAAATTTGATTTATGGAAGGAATTGATTATTCGTATCTTTTGTTTAAGTTTAATAATAGGCATGGCTTATCAGATTTACTTCTCGTGCATACGACCACTGTTCTATTTTAACGGTAAATTAATGTTATTTATTTGTAATTTATAATATCATGAATGCTTAAAATAACTATAATGCACTGATCGATGATTTAATCAGTAATCAATTATGCCAACTTTTTAAAAATAATTTTCCATCTTAATAGTTCCTAACAAATAATTTCATATAATTAAATTTAATAAATAAAATAGTAAATTACAATAAGTTATAATCAGTAATCGATGATGATGTAATGCAATAATTAACTGCATAAATGAAAATAAATATTTATAAATATATTAATTTAAAAAAATAGAAATGATTTTATTTACATTACTTTTGAAATTACATTAAAAATATCAAATTAAATTAAATTAATACTATTCGTAAAGTGTGGCATAAATGAAAATGAAATGATGCAAATAAAAATTGGTGCATATATACGTAAACTGCATAAAAAATAGCATTTGAATACTATAAAAATGCAGCGTCTAAAGTTCAATTTAATAAACTTAAAATTCGTTACGTTTGCGCGCTTAAAATTAGATGAAAATAAATTATTATAAAAATAAGCGAGCATTTCATGCCTAAGGTTTAATTTATCGAAGTAAAAATTTAATTAGTTCTGTACCACCTCAAAAAAAAAAAAAAAAAAAAAAAAAAAAAAAAAAAAAAAAAAAAAAAACGGAATGTTGTGGTTTACTAACTAAATTATCAAAGCGCTTTTCTACTAGAAATTTCACGTCTCACTATATCATAAATATAAAATCATTAACGAAGGACAACTTGTCAATCGCAATTGATAGTGTGTACGACATATGCGGATGAATATAAAGAATCAAGAGGCAAACATTATTATTTTAATAACTAAGCAAAAAGTGCAACAAGGCAATAAACACGTATAATATGTAATAAAAAATATTTATTTGCGTCGTATGCAAAGTTAACGATCTGACGATAATGCCGGTTAAGTTAATGTTATACTGAACCATTGTGTAGATGAGTCATTAGTAACTATTACGGAATTAACACTTGGAGCTCTCTAACCACTGTATTTCATGAATATTAAGGTTTAAGATTACAATGAAAGCTCTGAAGTATCCATTTCAATTCAATTTTAAAAGCTGCTTTCTAACGCTAAATGATATAATAAACCACTCGTAATTCATCCTATACCTACAAAGTTATCAAATGCATAGTCTTTAAAACATACTTTATTAAGTGAATTAAATTAAAGATTTAATCCTGTAAATTCGATGAAAAGGATTGAAATTACACAAGTATATATATATATATATATATATATATATATATATATATACACATCAATAACATATAACATATATATTATACTTCATCATATCTATTTCATGGAACTCATTGAAATTAAAATATTAATACGATTTTATTCATCGTACAAAATGAATTTGTGAGATTTACCAATGAAAGACTTTCCCATACAGTTTTATACTCAAGTTTATACCCTTTAACTTACTTTCTTTCACTTATCTCCTCTTTTTCATATTTTTCTTTCTTGGCACTTTCTCATCTCTCTTCTTGCAGTCAAATCAATATTCACTTCCTTCTACATAATTTCTATCTCTCTACCTCTTACATATCCATAATTCCACAATACAAATATATTCATTAGTTTATAAATGCTTTATTTTTCAAATATTGCTTACTTGGCTCTTGCAAATGTATCTGATTATCTTAATAATAATTTAATTAATATAATAATCGCAAGATTCAATTGTATGACTTCCTCAATTCAATGTAATATCAGATCATTTTTTATCATCTTATAGACAAGAATAATTATTATTTAATAGTTCGTAACAGAAGTGATAAAATATTTCATTCAACTCTTTTCTCTTATATACATTATTAAAAATATTACAAATTTCAGATTTTTAAATTAAAATTACAATAATTTTTTACCGATCCTTTTTAATTGCTTTAATTTTAACTTCCATATCGTTATACGTATTATTTATAAATACACATATATATATGTATGTACATATATTAAAAAAAAAAAAAAAAAACAAAAAAAAATTTATAATTTAATTGAATATATTATCTTTATAACTCAAAAATCCATATACTCATTTCAATCCAATGGATCGAATAAAACAATATATTTTAAGGTATCGTTAACAAGCAAATTATAAAAAATGTCTATATAACTTTGAAATCAATATACTTAATGAAATGCCTCACAAGATACACAAGTTTTTTTATATATAGCGATAAAACTTAGTGCTTCCGAAGGGAAAGCGATAATTTTTAACAAACTAATGATGATTGTTATGTATAAATAATCTTATATTAAACGTCTAAATATCCAAATATGCGAATATCGAAATATAAAGTTTTCATAATTAGGCTTTATTAGAATGAATTAAAATTGGTTATCATTTAGTGTTTAAATACTTGAATAAAAATTGTATCTAGAAATGTCAAAAGTGAGAGTGTGTTAAAAACGTTAAAAAGAGTTTTTATTTGAATTTTAAGTTTTTACATCAATTAATAACCTGAAGTTAACCTTCAACATTATGTTCTCGCGTATTTCACTGAAAAATATAGCATGAAGAGGATATTTTTGCCTTTTAATTTACTCGCGATATTGTCAAATGTTTTCAGCTTCATTTTCGTATACAATGGCGCCAAATTTGCACAATATTAAATGTACTAAACAAGAAATAAAAGTTTTCAAAAAAAAAAAAAAAGAAAAAAAAAGCATTTACTTTAACAAAATTATCACGTTAAAATCTTATTTGTTGAACAATATTTTTAATAAATTGTATAAAAAAAAAATAAATAAATAAAATAAAATAAGAATAAGAAGAAGCATGTAAATGTAATTGACAAGACAATAAAATTGAAATAATCCGTGTATTCAGGGGTAGTTGCAATGATAAATAAATATTATTCATTATATTAAAAGAAATTTCGATTGTAATCTATTGTTTGAATAATATTTTCTATCCTTGCATTATGGGTCCTTGCTTATTATCGTTGTTCTAACAGGCTCGTTTAATAATTGATAGGCTACAAACGTTATAATTCCGCTACTAAAAACCGTATTAAAAGTATGACTATTTAAAAGTTTAAATGAAACAATTAAAAAATATTTTATAATAAGATGCCCGACAAGACTTTACGAAGTCGATATGGACCAAGAGAGGAGTTTTTCAGTGAAGAAATGTCTTCTATCGGCATGTCCATGCGACCTAGCGGTAGTGCATCCTCAGGTAAATTAATTGAGATTAGATTATTTAAAATTATTTGAAAAGATTATTTATGAAATATCTTAAACATTAGATTTTCATAATTTAACATTTATAATGTAACTATTTACCCACTCTAATACCTATTTTTGTCATTTCTCGTCATTGTTCCTTTATCTTCTTTATCTTCTTTTTTTTTTTTTTTAAATTTTCATTAAGAAACAATGGAGAATACATTTTTCAAAACTATTATAAATGAATGATCTCTAAAAGGAATTTATTTGATTTTTCTTCAAGAAAATATTAAGATTTTTTAAAAAATAAAGCATTGGGCTTCGTTGTTACTTATTATGAAGAATTATCAGAATTTTTGACGCATTATTTTTATAATAATATAATATACATGTATTTTCGATCGATATTACCTACTGTGATTTTTATATCTAAATATAAGAACAAATAGAAAAATTAAATATTATTTACATAGCATTGGAATATTTATACTCTTGAATCACGTCTTTTTTTTTTTTTTTTTTTTTTTTTTTTTTTTTATCAAAAAAGGAAAAATTCTTTGTATCTAACCCAATAAATTTGAATTATTTCCGGCTCATTTGTTACTTTTAATGTTACAGAAAACCTAGTTTGTTATTAGTGAATATTAAATTCGTGGTAGTAAAATGTTGGATACACGAGATAGTATAATAAATTTATCTACGTGTAAAATTCAGCTTCCAAGTGGTTGACGTTGAAAACTGACAACACTTCCACTTACTTTAAGAAAATTATTATCATTGTGTAGGAGAAAATGAAGTGAAAGAAGAATACAATTAGTTCAGATTTTCGCGTATTATTTATTTAAATAATTATACTTTATTCGAGCAGGATTTCAGATTTGGAAATAAAATTGCTATGGCTATTGACTGATTGGCAATTGCTATTTTCTTTTTTATCGAAATACAACTCCATCAAAGTTACACTAATAACAGTGCTTTTAATATTCACGATAGATCACCTTGATCGATCTATTTCCATATTTTAACTAAGCAATAATTCTAATAATTCTAGATTATATCCTTTTAATGTATTTTCTAAATAAAAATTAATGAATTAATATAGTACTCTATTGAGAATGATTAAAAAAGAAAAGTCTAGGTAATTGGAAAGCTTGAAGCATATTGCTTTTTTGTTAAATTAATCTTAGGAAAATACATCTTTTATTATAAATAAGTGAAAAAAGATTTTTAATGAAAACAAACATTTATTTATTATATTAATTAATAAATGACATTATTCATTGGAACTATTTATTTTAATTTTAATTTTTAAACTTTAATAAAACATATAGAAATGCATTGTTACATTTAGTAATATATCCATGAAATATTAACACTGTCTGCTTTAATTAAGTCTGTTAACATTAATTGTCTAATAATAAATATCTAACTAATTCTTCTGGAAATATGTATATTTATAATTATTTTAAAAGAGTTCACTTTTATTTGTGCTTATCAACTGATCAATTAAAACTGAATAAGAACAATTTTAAAATACACGCAATGAATTATTTGACAAATTTGTTGTATCTTAAAGGAGGAGAAGGGGGAAAAATGATGAAAAATTAAATTTATATAATTTATATAATTAAAATTACAATATTTAGGATGCAATTAGAGAATTTAAACTTTATAATTTTGTTTGTAAGAAGTACAATCGTTATGGAAATCCATAACTTTTCTTCAACACTCTAGACATACATAATAACATATTTGTGATTGTGTAAAATGTAAATATTCTTAATTTTAGATTAATTTAATTCTTTCTTCAAAAATTGGGGTACATTCGTCTAGTTCGTGAGTGTGTGTCTCATATCTTAAATTGCTTACGGTGTATATGTATGTATTTTCGATATTAAAAAGTGAACTTAATCAACATTTTGCAACAAGAGATTAAGAGGTAATTCAAACTCGCTTTCACTGTCAAAATGATGATCTTTCTGATGATAGCGATAATATCAATTTATAATTAAAATTGAAAAGAAATGATTTGGCTGAGAACAAAATTGGAGAAAAAAACAGCGTTTCTGAAAAATCTTTACAAATTCAATTTATCTATTGAATGAATTATAATAATTATGTTGAATTCTCGGGAATAGCAAAAACAGCGTATCATAACATTCGAGATATGGATGAAATTATTATTCAATATCCAAGGTCATTTCGCATTAGTAATATCACATGTAAAATATTAATGATGCTTCCTTAATTAATATATTGACTCGATAGTCAATAGATTGAGATTTGTTATTGTTTAATGTATATTACAAGCGGATGAAATAATTTGCCATTAAAGGGTGCACAATTCGATCACTGCTTTATCGCGAAAATGCGCAATTAATGGAACTATCTAAAAGTTGCGTGATCGGGAGGCTGAGAAGGCATTACACCGCACACGCGCCGGTGCGTGTAACAAGTGCGCAACATTGCGCGCGAACATTGTCCGAGTAAGAAGCGAAAGTCCTTGATATCGATATTGGGTAAAAATGAGGACGAGCGCTCGTCCAGGAAGTCGCAAGAAAGCTAACAGCGGCCGCTTATCTCTTTTTCTAGGTATTTCGAGCCTGGTGAGTTGCGGGGAGGTCGAGGCGCTGCCGGAGCTCCCGCCCCAGGACAAGGAGCGACTCCAGCGGGCGGCGCGACTCCTGCAGCAGCGGCTCGTCCTGCGCCAATGGCTCACCGACCACGACCTCCACAATTATTACCAGAGGTACGTGCAGCCACCGCGCAGCAACCCCCCCCCCCCCCCCCCCCCCCCCCAACCCCACCCCCCCCCCCCCCCCCCCCCCCC